TTTTTTTTTTTTTTTTTTGGTACATTCTTGACGGGGCTCGTTGTTTTGACACAAGGTCTAGTTCGGCCAGTGGAGGCAACTTCGCTGTCCGACGAGGAGAAGAGGTTGATATTCGAACGGGACGGAGGCCGGTGCTGCCTTACCGGAATAACTTTTGAGAATTACCGTGCAGAAGGGCTTGTATACCTTCATATCGTTCCGCCAACTGTATTTACCGGCGGTCCAGTCCTATCTGAAGGGGTATGTATACATATTGTTGTTTCCTTATATTCAACCCAAAGCTAATGGATGTGCTAGACTATTCTGTTTGATTTTTTGAGTTACTTTCTATCAAGAGAACTATTGGATATCATCTACTCTCAAGAGAATAGACAGACAGACAAACTGGGAAACGTTTGGCTACTTTCTACCACAGCTTGGAATTATTTTAGAACGGGAGACGCATACCTTAGGATACAACGTGAGGATACCAAAACAGAATCTAGCTTGAAGCAGGAGGTGAGTTTTTGAGCCCCATATTATGGCTAATAGTATTGACATGCAAAAGTATCGCGTCTTTCATAGCGGGTTTACGCCTAGTCACCCCGGAAGTTTCTCCCTAGATCGTGGCGGCTCCGTTCATATTGAGAATAGAAAATCTCATTTAACGATTACTCCTAATAAAAATCTCTTTGCAATACACAGATTCTTCTCAAGACCATTGGCGTGGATGGAAGCTCATGAATATATGCAAAAGCGTCTAGCCAATGCTCCAAGTAAGTCACTAGATTTTCTCTTCGCACATGAATATATTTCCCTCTAACTTGTACCAGAAAAGACTTCAACAGCGAAATCTTCAATCTCTCCGTTTTTCTCAATTTTCCGAGGGCTTTGGACATCACTACCTTCTTTTGTCAGAACATCCGTATACGACTTTTTAGCCCGGATTGGCCTCAAAATGTACCCACCTACACTGTCTATGACCGTCTATAAACTCCCTTTCGGTTTATACCTCCGCCGAGGATCACCATCCCTTGTACCAAAGTATCACGTTGAAGCCCACACACTAAAAATGATAGAACAGTCAACCAATATCCCCGCTCCCAGGGCAATTGATGTTACACAAACGTCACGATATTCGTATTTACTTATGACCTGCGTTCCTGGACGCCCTATTGGTCCAAGTATGAACACAATGACCGATGAAGAGGTAGAGCAAGTCGTGGTTGATTTAAAGGGATATATTTCTGAGCTTCGGAAGATACCAAGAGATCCGTCTTCAGAATATCTTATATGCAACTCTCAAGGTGGTGGTTTCTTAGACTGGCGTATTCCTGATAGCCAAAGCGAGGAGTTGCGATTCAAATCTGAAGCTGATTTCAATAAATACTTGACTGATCCTTTCTGGGAAGAGATCCGGACCCGTGCTGCGAAATCACACGAAATTCCCCATGAGATTGTCTTTACTCATGGTGATCTCAACCCTAGGAATATATTGGCGGAAAATGGAAGAATCACAGGAATTGTTGACTGGGAAAATGCAGGATGGTTCCCAGAATATTGGGAGTATACCAAGATGCATTATACTGTTCGAGGTGTGGAACGTTGGCTTGTTGATGTAGTCGACAGTGTTTTTACAGGCTACCGGCAAGAGTTATGGGTGGAAAATATGCTTTCAGACCTTTTGGGTCCATTCTAATCTCCTCTCCCTTCCCTCATTGTCTATATCTCCCGGATTTTCAAATCATATTACCATGTCAGCAAGCCTAATCTCGGAATAGTTAGCACTTTGTATATCTCTTATTTTATTCCCCTCGCATGTTATAATCAAATAAAGCAAGTTAATAGTAGGTAAGCATTGTCCTGTCCTCAGAACCCTCTTCTAGGATAAGAAGTCTCATATATACATGATAGTCACGTTTCAGAGTATTTTTCTTGCACATAATGGATATGAGAACTCTTTTAGATCTGAGAATTCTTGACCTTGGCGATTTTCGCACCAACTTCCACGTCGTCCTTGTAATCGGCAGCAGCATCCAGCAATGTCTCCTCAATATGAGCTATGGATTTACTAAGAGTAATAATCCCATTTTTCTCCAGTGCGATTATGGCGTCCTTGACCCAGGTTCTGCAGGAGAACGTCTCGCCAGTATTGGGAGAAGGATGAGGACCAGCTGGAATTCCATTCAAGGTGTCGATGCAAGTCTGCCAGTTGGAATTGTTGACGGAGCCGATTTTATGGGCTAGGACTAGACTCAAAGAATATGGGACGTTGTTGGAAGGTCTTTGGTCAAGTTTCCAGCCTCCCTCGCGGTCAGTGGCATGCCAGATGTGACCGGCAGGAGTATCGATAGGTATGAAGATGCCCCAGTGGAAGCCAGGGTTGGCACCACGGCTGCTGAGCATGACATAAATCGAGTAGTTCTCATACTGCTTGGCTATATCTTCGCGGGACATGGAACGGGAGGCCATTTTCACGTGAAGGTGACTTGAAAGAGCCTTCTAAGACTTTGTAGGTGGGATGGGGCGACGAAGATCAGGTATAGGCAGAGGGCAGCTGTGACTGAGATGCTTTTTGGATGAGAAGAGGAAGCAAACTTCCAGAGAAAGAAAGCCCCTTTTATAATGCAATTTGAGGGGACTAGAAGTCCAGGCAGCAGCGCGGGGGTGAGAAGGATGCATTGAATATCACTGGGTGGTTGGACAGGAATGCGGGAAAATGACCAGGCTATCGTCCCGATAAAAGTGATGCGCCGCAAAATGCACTTCCACCCTGGGTTATCACATACTGTCCAGGATGATCAATGAGGGGGTTGAGGCTCGAAAAGGCCAATGAAGATGGTATTATCAAAACGACTAAGCCAAAAGGGTGAATATATACCCGTGGACAAGATGAGGCTGTGTCTTTGACAGGTATATATGCAAGGCGACTAGGCAGCAACCCCTCCCCTCGACTGTGATGGACATGGATTCGACTGATCTTGCTGGAGAAATCATCAGACCCATGCTGTGCTCTGTCAGTTCCATGGGAGTTCCGTGTGGTGGTTTTCAATGTCTATTTGTTCATCAATACATTATTGATACATGATGTTGATGCACTGACTGGCAACATGCATATAGGCAACAAAGTGAGGCTCAAAAATGCCGGCCCTGGAGTTAAGTATGGAGGGGACATGGGTATCAGGGTAGCATATTAAGTTGGAAGGCCTCCATAGCTGACCATCGTGTGATAGCTGACTGGTATGCTTGGACAAACATAGCTACAAGCTCTGCGTGTAAGTAGTTCATCATCTTGTCGTCTCCTTGTCGTTCTGAGAATTTCAGGGATTGGCGAGAGGCGATGTTTCGCACCGAAACTGGACCACAGCTAACTAGCGTCAAGCTGATTTGTAACGCTCCAACGGATAACCCCGCAGCTTCATCAGGCCATCCGTCTCTTGATCTCGCCATATCGACTGGGATAAAGCCGTGTCGGATCCTGTTGAGCGGAACTTTGCTGGTGGGCTGCCAATTTCGGTGGTGGAGCAAGCGTTGAAATTTTTGTTCCTCGGGTGACAAGGCCCGCCGCCTCATCCCCAGGAGTAACTAATGGTTACCAGCATCTGGCTTCTAGATTTCCCCCAGAGAGCGCAAAAAAACTCAAAAAGCAAAGAAAAGCAACGAAGAGATTGACGTTTGTTCGTTTCCAGCATCGACCTTCGCGGCCAGTTTGTATGGCATACTTATAAGAGGGAGACGACCGGGCCGGTTTGAGCAGGCAGGAATAGTTGATATAACTAGTTAGCTGCAGCCACTGTCAATCGTCCTTCTCAACAACCAACCGTCAACTGTCAACTGTCAACGTCAACGCCAACCCAAAGGCAACGTCTCTTAACCTTGGGTTATTCGGCCAGTTTCAGCGCAAAAGATGGCGTCTGGTGAGTCTGGCCGTCGCCAGTCGGTGTATAAGATATTCGGAGAGCCGGTACGTATCAATGTCTGTTTGCTGTCTCGCCATTTTGCTGCTGCCATGGCTGCCCGTCTCTGCTGGCTGTTGATCTGGACTGGCACTCTTGCAAAAAGCCCACTTCGTCTCCCCCACTGTTCCCGCCAGTTTGTATGATTGCCATTGCTGCTGTCAAACTCGCAGCCTCGCCCTGTCCACACTGCATCTTGTCTTCTTGCTGTCCGTCTCTGCTGTCCTCGTCTTCTCCGTCTCCTTCGTCTTCATCATCGTCTTCATTCTTCGACGTCAGAAAACAAAAAGCACGCCGCGGATTTCCTAATCGGGCAACCCTGGCAGCGGGCACATGACTTCGCGGGTTCGCCCGACAGAAGGTCGCTTTTCTCCGAGACTTTCCGACGTGGAGATTCGGAGGCGATGGCGACGGTGACGGCGACGGCGACGACGAGGAGCAAAAGGTCCCCCCGTACAGGAGATGAAGAGCAGGACGGAGAGGACGAGGATGGAGATGGGGGAGTCAAGCCACTTTTGTCAAACACAGCCTCCGGGAATATGGAGTGTGGAGGCAGCAGGGTATATAATAAGGGGGAAAGCCCCTTTTCGCCAGTACATGAGGGAGTATATACCTACCCACGGCCGACGGAAGAAGGCAGGAAGACAAGAAGACAAGAAGACTGCAGCAAGAACACAAGAAATGCATGCAAGGAGGGAACTTCCTCGCTGTGGACGACTAAGCGGATGAACAGCCCGCCAGTTGTGTTGTGAATGCAGACTGCACAGAGGCAGCATCCAGGAGGCCAGGAGGGCTAGCTATATCAAAGCTGCTGCTCTATACCCAGACCCTCTGCTCTATACCCGCGCCCTGTCTGTCTCTATCTTCTGTCTTTGATTCTGTCTCAACACCCAACTGTCCCTTTGCTGTGCACTATCAAAAAGAAAACGAAAAAATTGTGAATAATAAAGGCGGCCCCAGTTAAAGCATCCTCTGCCTACCACCCATGCCCTGAAGAGTCTCCGGCTGCGCATGATGGCAAGCATCGTACTCTAGAACGTCCAGCTAACAGCAAGAAGAATGACGATGCAAAGATATGTGTAGTTATGGTTGGCCTTCCGGCCCGGGGAAAGAGCCTTATCGCCGGTAAAGGTAAGATAGGTCGTCTTCGTTACTGCAATGTTTACACGGGTTAACAACAGGGCCTACAGCGCTACGTTATCTCTCATGGATCGGGATTCCAGCAAAGATCTTCAACGTCGGGCAGTATCGCCGACAAGATACTCCTCGGCCCACAGCGGCGTTCTTCGACACTTCTAATCTCGATGGAGAACGGTTACGTCGAGCAGCAGCTGAAGCCGCAGTTACAGACATGCTTCACTGGTTCTCAACGACCGGTGGACAGGTCGCTATCCTTGATGCTACCAACTCGACAAAGGAACGCCGCAAGTGGATCCGTGACGTGTGCCAGTCCGCTGGGATCGAGCCGCTATTTGTTGAATCCAAGTGTGATGACCGGGAACTCATCATGAACAATATCAGAGAAGTCAAAACTACTTCTCCAGACTATGTTGGACAGGACCCGGAAGTAGCTGCCCAAGATTTCATGGAGCGGATCAGCAATTATGAAAAGGTGTACCAAACCATAGAGGAGGATGAGGATGTATCGTACATCCAGCTCATCAATGTCGGGACGTCCGTGGTGATCAACAATATCAAGGATTACCTGTCTAGTAGACTCGTATATTATACTATCAACCTTCACATTAAGCCCAGATCTATCTGGCTATCTCGAGTGAGTTGCCGCCTCTGTATCGTTTGCCATGGCACGGCCGACTAATACACTAGGATTTAGCATGGAGAGTCTGAGTTTAACCTTTCAGGCCAAATAGGCGGAGATGCCAACCTATCCAGCCGTGGTGAGGCATATGCCCGAGCATTACCCTCTCTTCTCAAAGAATCTGGTGTTCCTCCCGGCACCAAAATTGTTATCTGGACCTCAACATTGAAACGTACTATCCAAACTGCCCGTTTCCTCCAGGCAGAAACAGGATATGACAAACTTGAATGGAAAGCCCTTGACGAACTCGATTCTGGAGTCTGCGATGGTCTCACTTACGAGGAAATTGCAGAAAGATATCCCGAAGACTTTAAAGCCCGTGACGACGACAAATACAACTACCGCTACCGAGGTGGTGAATCTTACCGTGACGTCGTCATCCGTCTTGAACCAATTATAATGGAACTCGAAAGAAGCGAAAACGTCCTCATAGTCACCCACCAGGCTGTCCTCCGCTGCATATATTCTTACTTCTTAAACATGTCCCAAGAACAGAGTCCATGGATGGAGGTACCACTTCACACGCTGATAAAGCTTACTCCTCGTGCCTATGGAACAGAAGAGAAGAGGTTCAAAGCAAATATCCCTGCCGTCTCGACCTGGCGTGGCAAAGGATCGTCTGCAAAACATCAGGAACCCGCTTGCCAGCCTGTAGCAAAGTAAGCTGGTGGTAGGCTTTCCAGCAGGCAAACAATTACTCTCTTCTCCATTTGTTTCACCTCACTCGGTTAAATTCCGCATGAAATAGAGTTATACACGATGTCGGCGTCGGATGGTGTGTGGAACGGTCTCTTGTCTAGGACGGAATTCAAGGAACATGCATACATGGTGGAAGGGAGAACTTGATTTAATCATATGAATTAGACTCCCTCTTGACAGTGGGGATAAGATATGGAAACTAAAGGCTGTTAAACGGCCTTACGTCGCTTCTCTACTCTTATGCTATCTATTTGACATAGCATTTATCTATTCTAGCTTAGGAAGAATGGACTCCATAGCCATGACTATAACAGCTTCGGATAAATCTTTCTCTAGTTAATCTATCCAGCCCGAATATTTATTGAATTACTGTATAGAATACAGTATAGATACTTAGTTTTTTGCTTTTTTTGCCTCTTGTCTATTGGGAATCAAATTTTGGATGCAACTTGAAGGCTGGTCAAAGAAGAATTGACAGGTTCAATGTTGAGTGTGGAAGTGATTGGCTGAGGGCTAACAGGTAGCTGACCAATAGATTGCTTAGGCTTGACTAGCCGTTGCCCAATCAATAACGAGATAACCTTAAAAGCAAACGTCAACAAAATAAAGCTTCCTTATTGGCCATATTTATATTATAGTTACACGTGACTGCACACTTGGTCTCCCCGGCCCGCCGTGTCCTGCAGCATGACATCTTGCAGCGAACGAGAAGCTTCAGGGACGCAGCAGCGGACAAGCGGAAGAAGACGAGAGACAGCTCGGTCACAGGCCTCATGGACATAGCAGTGCAGTCCATGGGCGTCGGCGATACCATCAAACTACCCCCATCCCTCTAGCCATGCTGACTGCATTCACGGCGAGGCTTCTCGTGGAGTTCCGACCTCGCGACAAGTCGAAGATAGAGTCCATCTTGACGTACGGGGACAGGCTGCTGGTCGGGCTGAACACAGGATCGCTGCGAATATACAGGGTTAATGAAGTGAACGTCGATGAAGCAGAGACACGGGCTGGCGATGACACAGAGGCGCAGGAAGGCAGTGGTGATGGCGGTGGTGTCATTCAGCCATCTCCAGCAACCAAACCGACAGATCTACTGCGAGAGCTAGAGAAGTTCTCGCGGTATAAGATCGAGCAGTTGGCGATTATCAAGGAGGCGAATATTCTCCTTTCCCTTTCGAACGGCCATGTCTCGATACACGATCTGCAGTCCTACGAGCTGCATGAGCAGTTAACTCGAACTAAAGGGGCTACCACCTTCGCGGTTACCTCCAACATCGAGAAGGATCAGGACACTGGGGTTCCGTCGATTGTGTCTAGGCTTGCTGTTGCGGTGAAGAGAAAGCTCATGCTATGGACATGGCAAGACATGGAGCTTGAAGATGATGCTACGGAGATAACACTTGTTAGCGGGATAAAGACCATTACTTGGGCGAACGGTACCAAGCTACTAGCCGGACTTAGCTCAAGCTATGTCCTTGTTGATGTTGTGACAAGAGAAGTTACGGATATTGTAGGACCTGGAAGCATTGGGGGGGCTGGCGGATCTGATACGGGGCGTCTGGGAGGAGTAGGTGCCAGTATGAGCTACATAGGCATGGGCGGAGCAACTCCCAAACCGCTCGCTACAAGATTGTGCGAAGGACAGATGCTACTGGCAAAGGATGTCAACTCACATTTTATTGACACGGATGGAAACGGCCTCAAACGACGCCAGATTCCTTGGACGGTGGCTCCTGAAGCTGTTGGTTATTCATACCCTTACCTACTAGCACTTCAGGATGCATCCAAGGGTATACTTGAAGTGCGCAATCCAGAAACTCTATCACTTCTTCAATCGGTATCCCTCCCGTCGGCTGCCATGATCCATATCCCACAGCCAAATATCAGTCTTGCCCATGCAGGAAAGGGGTTTCTCGTGGCTAGTGGACGTGTGATCTGGAGAATGAGTGCTCTCGACTATGACTCGCAGATTGATGGTTTAGTAGAACAAGGTAATCTCGACGAAGCCATCAGCCTTCTTGGAATGCTTGAAGATGCCCTTCTGAATGACAAAGAGGGTAGACTGCGAGAGATCAAGCTTCGCAAGGCCCAGACTCTATTCGAAAAGCAGAAATACCGGAAGTCGTTGGACCTTTTTACAGAAGTTTCAGCTCCTCCCGAGATAGTTATACGGCTATTCCCTAAACTCATTGCTGGAGAGCTATCATCTATTGAGGAAGAACCTGCACAAGAAAGTTCGGAGAGCTCAGAGGAGAATCCCTCTCAGCCTGAAAATGGTACCAGTATTCACAGTGCTGAACCCACGACACCCGATGACAAGCCGAAGGTTAAGAATGGGACTTATGCACCGTCTGTAACCTCGTTTCTAAGAGGAAGACCAGATGATGCTAGCGAAACTGGTAGCATGCGTGGTAAACCAGCAGACCTGAAAGAACCAGACAAGCGGCTTGGTATGTATTCCATATTATCTTTTTTTCTTATACATTTACCACCTAACTAACCCAACTTGTAGAAGGGAAAGATTTGAAAGCAGCTGTCTATGAGCTGCAGGGGTTCCTAGCTGATATTCGTCGAAGACTCTCTAGATTTATCAGTCCTGATGGCACACTTAAGGAGCCCTCAGTCAACGTGGATAAATCAGACGATACCACCCAATCTATGTTGAAGACCTTGGGTATCTCTTCTGATGATCTAGAAAACATCGACATGAGCCAGAAGTTGCGGGAGACAGCTACATTGGTAGATACCACCCTATTCAGAGCCCTTATGTTCGCAACCCCTACGCTAGCTGGCTCGCTCTTCCGCATCGATAATTTCTGTGACCCTGAGGTGGTGATGGAGAAGCTAGAACAGACCGCTCGCTACGGCGACTTGATAGACTTTTTATTTGGCAAGCGCCTTCATCGCTCTGCCTTGGAACAGCTCAAGAAGTTTGGCCAGAAAGAGGCCGGAGAGGAAATCTCGCCGGAACTACAAGGCCCCAAACGCACAGTTGCCTATCTGCAGAATTTACCACCCGACATGATCGATTTGATTCTCGAGTTTGCTGAATGGCCACTTCGAAGTGATCCTGAGCTCGGCATGGAGATCTTTCTTACGGATACAGAGAATGCAGAGACACTGCCTCGTCAGAAGGTTCTTGAATTCCTTAATGGAATCGACGCAAAGCTCGCCATTAAATATTCAGAACATGTCATCAACGAGCTAAATGACCTGACACCAGATATACATTTCCGACTGTTAACACTATACCTTGAGCGGATCCTCAAGAGTAAGAAATCAAAGGATGTTTTTCCAACCGAGGATGAGCGAGAGGAGTGCAAGAACCGATTCTTGAAAATGCTAGAAACGAGCGAACAATATTCCCCTGCCAAAATGCTTGATCGGCTCCCAAGAGATGGTAAGCATATCTCTCCTTTTACTATCATACATTCCTATTGATATGGAGACTAATTGCTTTATGGATTGATAGATCCGGAATTCTTTGAGCCAAGGGCTGTTACGTTGAGTAAGATGGGACAACACCGTCAAGCTCTTGAGATATATGTGTTTAAGCTGGACAATCCGGCAAAAGCAGAAGAGTGAGTTACTAGAACATTAATTATAGACATGAGCATAAGCTGACTGGTCCTGTGCAAAGGTACTGCAATCGAATCCATTTGGGTGATTCCACATCTACCAAGCAACGTGCAGTTCCATATGGTAGTTGTCCAGCAGTTGAGGATGAGGAGGCCCGCCCGTCTATCTACCATACACTTCTTTCTCTGTACCTGTCACCGCCACATGGTTATGAACCACGATATGGCCCCGCGATCGAGATCCTTGCGCGACATGGTTCCCGGTTACCTGCCAGCTCCACTCTCAGCCTTATCCCAGGCTCATTGCCAATCCACGACCTCGAATTCTACTTCCGCAGCCGTATCCGTGCAGCCAATAGTATCTTAAACCAAGGTCGAATTATATCCTCGCTGCATAAGATTCAAAGTGCAGAAACAGAGGCAGCACTGCGTTTGGGTGACAATGTTGGCAGCAACAAGGGAAGAAACCGCTGCATCACCGTCAGCGAAGATCGGGTGTGCAGCCATTGTCATAAACGGTTAGGTGGGAGCGTTATCAGTGTGTTTCCAAAGTAAGTTCGACTGTGTCTTTTGCATCTCAAACATCTCTCACTAACATCTCGAACCACTAGTAATACGGTAGTTCACTTAGGCTGCGCCAATAGATTGGGCTCTGCAACATAAATGGCGTTATAGAAGCGTGATGATTCCAGTCCACCCGGCGGCATAATGGCGTCTCGGTATCATCTTTGTTCCAACTCATCTGTTTCCTTTTCCTTTCCTCCGCTATGTTTCTGTAGATATTGCGTTGTTATTGGATACCCCCGACCTGCCATGTTCACATCATAGTAAACATAATAACGAAGCTCCCAGTACGCTAATGCATCAATCATCATTCATCACTCATCATCATCGACAACTTCCTCGCCATAGTTGTCTTCTTCTGTTTTGTCGTCTATTGTGCCGGCTCCTTGTGCGTCACGTAGCTTATCTTCCTCCATCTTCTCCGTAAGAAAGGCGTTAACATCCGCTTGTAAGGATACAATTGATCCTCGTAATTCTGCTAGGTACTTTGTTCGTTCCGCAGTGCTATTCTCACCGGGCGGAGGGATAGAGGAAGAGAGCTGCTGGGCAAAGGTGTGCGCTGATGGCTCGGCCGTTTCTTGTGATGTGCGGGGAGCCTGGTAGACAGCTTTGAGAACGGGGTCTTTGCTTGAGTTGGGGTCAGAAGCCATGGTTGAATCCTTGCAGTAACACGCTTGATTAGACCGATGTCAAGTCCCGTCTCTTCTCTCTTGCTATTTGATATGTCGATGTTAAGATCGTTTTCGAGCCTTCACGAAGGTTGCATTCTTTGGCTTCTGCAGGCGCGCGACGGCGGGGTGTCACGTGATCATTTCTTATCCATGGATTGGAACCTTTGGAAATCCAGACCTCAAGGAGCTTCCCCACTAGAAATTCCTCCCTCCTTGTTCTTATCTAGTTATTTAGTTATCAGCCAACCTGCATCTGTGAATCTGTGATTGTCATCAGTATGTAGCACAAAGTATGGCTGAATCTGAGTTTGGCTCTCAGAGACGCGTCGAGTTGATCAACAAGATCGCTGCTGGTGCCGGTGGAGAGATTGATCAGCCTCTGTGGCCGTTTTTATGGCTGGCAGATATCCCGCAGCTCGAAGAAATCTCTAAGCAACCTGACCTGATAACCTATCTTGCTGGGCTTGCAAAGAGACTTGAAGACAGCCAACTGCTGGCAAGATGTAAGCTTGTTCATGCTGATGTCTGTGCACAGTTACTGACGTTTTTGGTTTCCTACTGTTTATACAGGGACCCGGAGAACTTACGAACGTACACCCTCCCCGACGGCCTCTCCTGCGCCAGCGATGTCAAGGCTTTCAGAGATGGCAGTACCGGGCGATCGGCCTGGCTCACCAACCTCAAGCGGAATGGGTACGCCGCGTACTCGTTCTGAAAAAGCGGCAGACCTGGTTAGAATCTCAGATTCATATGCTGAAAGACTTACTTCACCCTAACTAGTTAACTATTCGCTGCTAGTGCCGCCTAAGAGACAGTAATAGATGCGTCGTGACTGGTGCTGACGATCCTGTTGAAGCGGCTCACATTTTCCCATTCTCCATGAGGAGATTACAGGCCCCGGATATCGTCAACGACACATACAATCCGTGGAGCGTTTTTACGTATGTTTTGGGGCCAAGAAAGGGTCGACGCGTGGTATAATGCCATCACAGGCCCTGTGGCCACTGAGACCGTACAGAACCTTATGTGCTTGGCTCCGTCAGTTCACAAGTATCATGAACGCGCTTATTTTGCATTGGAGCCCGTTGAGGAGGACACCCAATCGCACACTCTTACGGTTCGTTTCCATTGGCTACCCCATATGGCCAACCTCCACAGACTAAAAGTTGATACCCGCCCATCATTTGCTCGTGGTATTGGTTGCGGCCGCCGGATACGGCTGTGGGAGGTGGTGTCTGGCGACGAAATCATTTCGGGAACACTCATCAATATCACTGGATACGACAGGATTCCCCTCCCTGACCCGGCGCTCCTACAACTGCAATGGATGCTTCAACGCATCGTCGCCTTAGCTGGCGGCGCTGAAGTATTCCAGAAATCCAATGATGACGGTGATGACGATGATTACTCTGATTACTCTGAAGTCTACGAAGATAGATGATATGCATCTCGATCTGCCACCACCAGCGGCATCATCTTCGCGCAGACAACTCAATGCTAGAATGCTGCACTCCCCACCAGAAATTACACTTCCCGTCCGTTAATTTCTTCTTCAATGCCTACGCTCTTGCTCATTATTCTATCGTGGTATCCACTGCGATAAGAAACCCAGCACATACCCAGACGGGCTATGCCCAATGTATTTTTAGTGTATTTTATTTTACCTTTTTGAAAGTCCCTGCATGATTCTACTTATGTTGTTTAATCCGAGAAGTTCCGCTCAGCAATACTCATTCCTACCCCTGAAGAGCTGAATTCATTGTCTATCGGCCCAAAACATTCAGTAGCAAGTCGAGTCAGTACTTCATACGTTATTACCTTGTAAATGAAATGTCACTTTACTAACTAGTTACCAGGACGTAAGAGTAGAATGAAAAACAGGTGAAATTGTATTACATTCAACACAAAACTTCGCGATATATCCACATATCCAAGCCAAATGTATCGACTCAGAGTGTGTCTTTAGATATATCTGAAGATAAACTGTACATAATCAAGTCCAGCTAAGACAGTACGCCTGAACTAGATTTAAAATACATATTTTTTATAATTTTAACCTTTAGTATATTAGATATTTTTTTACTATTTTTTTTTTTTTTTTTTATTTTTCTCTACTTTTAAAAGTGGTCATCAAGTGGTGCTGGTCATCGAGTGGTGGATTACGTTAAACTATAGAAATGCCCCACAAGCTTCCGAGCACCATGACTTTATCACATCCATAACTAACTAGCGAATACGACGGCCCTTCATCAACTTCATCAACTCCATCAACTTCGCAGGAAACATACGAGACGAGGTATTCAATATGTCAAAAGGCTGGTTCTATGACCTTGATTCACTGAAATTTACCATGTTAAGATGACAGCGGCCCCTCATAATAACGAAGATGTTCCTTGTGGGAGGCTGAGTTCCCGTTTAGCACAGCCTCAGCCTCAGGACGGCTGCATATCACACATGCACGACGGGCGAGTTATAGCCAGAAGCATTACAGGGATGCTTGAGTCTGTGGAGAGCCTCGTTGCCTTAAAACCCCCATGTGAACGCCAGCATTCTGTCATACCTTTCGTCGCCCTACCTAGTGAATTGTCTTCAGGCTGAGATGTTGGAAAGGGCGACAGTTTGTTAATGCTCCAGTCATTTGGTTGCCATCTTCTCTCGCCCGGCTAGCAGAACAGGCATCGAAGACAGTTGTTCCTCGAGCCGGTGGGAAACGCACTAACTAGCCAGCCAGATGGATCCAGCATCAGCCTTTGGCATCGTTACTGGTGCTATGCAAACGGTGCAGATTATTGGCAGCACAGTCCAAGGTCTGCGTGCTTTGCAGGGTAAATATGCCGATGCGGACATGACAATTCACTCGCTTATTGTTCAAGCCGCCACAATAAAATCTGCCATAACGCAGCTCCAGGATTGGGCAACTCATGGTACTGGCCGGGCGGAGCATCCAGACTATTTGGATGGGCTGGATATCGCCATAGATGGATGCAAAACAAGCATGGAATGCCTCCTTGCTCAGGTTTCCAAAGTCACAAGTGTTCTAGATGCTAGAGAACTGCCTGAATTACGAGTTGCGGCGAAGATTCGGGCAGTCTGGGATGACCATCTCATGCAGGATTATCAACAGCGGCTCCAGTCCCAAGTCCTAGCGTTGAATTTTCTATTGCAGGTCTGCCAATGGTGCGTTTGAAACCAGTATCTGTCCATTTACTCAAAGAAAGAAAGACTATGAGTTAACACATATATCCTTTCTAGTCGTACTGTAACGGAGCAAGTTGAGCTTTTGCGGCGAGAAGAGAACAGACAGTTGCTGAAGAAAGTGGCAGATGATACCGTGACCCTGCGGAGCTCGGTTAAGCAGCAAGCAGACCTATCTACAATGAGTATTTCTCAATCAACAATCAGCGAGACGGCTTTAGATGTGGACGATATCATAGTCAATGCAACTGCGTACAGAAGAGCGCTAGCACATAGCCGTTCAACCTCAAACCGAGCTCGTACGGAAGAATCGAATCATAGTACAACAGGTCAACCGCAGACTGCGGGGTCCGCCACTACTGATGAAGGCTATGCTAGTGGAACCGCCCGATCGCAGTCATTTAAGGGAATAAATACTCTCTCCCCACCTAATACATTCCTTGAACCACCAGCGGAGGAGCTGTCGCCTCAGGACCAGGGAGAAATGGGACGAAGCGCCTCAATGGCTGTAGGGAGGACGTCAATAAAGCCCACAAATCCTGTTATGCGGAGATGGCAGTCAAACCCAATACCTCTTCACAAGTCTGGCTCAAAACGAGAAAAGATTCGCCAGGTCCTTGGAAAGTTAGATACGTCAAGCCGAAGCAGCCTCAAAAAGACATCGCCACGTCTGGGACCAAAGTCTTTCGGCTCCTTTTCTCCCATACCAGAGCGGGGCGCGGCACCAAGATTTGATCGGACTCGTTCAAATACTAGCATTGATCTTTCTTCATCTGGTAGCGCGTCTATACCTCCTATCATAAAAGCTGCCCAATCTGGGTCACTAGTCCAGGTTGAAATGCAAATTGGTGAAGGAGCCGATATTGATTGTCATCACGCACTCACTGGTCGAACAGCCTTGGCTGTTGCCGCTCACTGTGGTAATGAGGAAGTAGTTGACTACTTGCTCCAAAAGGGGGCAAAGTATGATACCCAGGAAATAGATGGCTCGACACCTCTACATCTGGCAGCCTCCAGGGGCCATACTGCTGTTATCCAAGTTCTTCTCTCAGTAGTTGAGAATGTGGACGTAAAGGATGGCTTGGGCCGAACACCATTTTGGATAGCTGCTGATGGAGGTCATATTGATGCAACACGGATGCTTCTGGGGGCGGGCTGCAAAATAACAGCTAGAGCCAAAGGGCAGATGACAGCCTTACACCAAGCAGCAATTCGTGGCGATGGCGAGATGGTAGCATTTCTTCTGCAGTCTGGTGCAGATATTGAAGCCAAGGATGCCAGTATGAAGTCTGCGTTTCACCATGCTTGCGAGAATAGTCAATATTCCCTTTGCCGCTCCCTTTTTCAGTACAAAGCGGACATTGAAGCCATTGAAATCAATAAGAGAACACCACTAATCTGCGCAGCAATCGCAGGCGATGTGCGCATTGTGGAGTATCTGATTGGGAAAAAGGCCTATATATTGGCTACAGATGAAGGCGGGATGAACCCTCTGCATGCCGCGGCTGCTAATGGCCATGTTGAAGTTGTCCAGTTGCTACTAGAGAAGAAGATCTCCATAACTTCTACGAATAAACTCGGGATGACCCCTTTACATCTTGCCGTCATGTCTAGGGAGTTTGCAGTTGTTGAATTCCTCCTACGCAAGGGAGCACCGACAGAGGTTAGAAGTTCAGGCGGGTTCACACCGCTTCACTATGCTTGCGATCTGGTAGACCTTGAGATAGCTCAGCATCTTATTGGGTGTGGAGCAAGCATCGAGGCTCAAGGAGAAGGACAACAACGACCAATTCATATTTCTGTGGCTAGGGATTCGATGGAATTGGTTGAACTGCTCTGCCAGAAACAAGTGGAAGTTGACGCTGCTGATGCATCTGGCACACGCCCCTTGTGCATAGCTTGTCGTAAGGGTAGTGCGTCTATAGTTGAGCGCCTCTTGAATCAAGGCGCAGCTACGTCCTGCTCGAGCTCATGGAATGGCACTCGGGAAGAACACTCGCCGCTGGCAATTGCATCGAGAGCTGGTGACGTGCGAATAGTATCCCTCCTACTTGGTAAGGGGGCATCTGTTGAGCAGTATGATGGAAGGGGCTGGAACCCTCCGCTGTATGCAGCACACTATGGACACGTAGAAGTCCTGCGTTTGCTACTGTCTAAGAGCAACTCTCTTTTAAAGATTAAGTTAGGTCAAATGTTCTCACAGACTGGGTTCCATCCGCATCTTTCAATACCAGCAGAAACTGCGCAGACAATTCAAAGGCTTGTCTTTGAGGATACACAGCCACTACTCAGCCAGGGTATCGGGAATCCTCGAATGATGATGAGGGATGTCAACGAGTTCAGTGGTCATAGTAGGTTTATGCAGGGATACGTACCTATGCTGCAATCCTTCCACCAACCTCCTTCCTCCACGATAACTCCACCAATACCGTCGTTTCCACAGACTGCCATTGAACTCCCTGCGTTTGAACCCATTACCCTACCCGGTCGTGGATTTCTTGGATCAATCGAGCCGAGCAGTGGAGGCATACAGCAGGATCAGCCCCCAGACATACGACCGGGCTTATTCGAAGCGCCGCAGAATACCATCACGCGGAGTAGTGGTGGCCAGTCAAGCAACAATCAGAACAGCCATGTCTCCATAGAACGGCCCAATCTTAACCACGGCGAGCAACCCAACATTGTCTCTGCCCTGGGAGAGCCACTGCCCACAATACCCAGTCGAATAGCTACACCACTGTCAATATTCGAGTATCCTCGCCATCAGCCACCGTCTCAGCCTGTTTCCCAACCTCAGGACCTGCCACCACGAGATATTCCAGCTCGTCAAGATATCGGTGTCTCCCCCCTTGATACCTTGGGTAGAAATGCTACCGTTAGCCCTGCACCACACGTGCCAGACGAACCATCAATGAACAACCAGTCCCAACCATGGTATGCAGAAGAAATATATAGGCAATCACCGGAAGACGAGTCCGATGATAGTGGACTCGAGGATGACTCCGATAGCGAGTCTGCCGTTTCTGTATACACTGCTCCGGAATCGCTAGACCCTGAGATACCAGAACTGCCTTCTGCAGAGCTTGGAGCCGCTATATACGAGCTAGATGGAACCGGCATATCAATGCAGGGCGTCTTTATACCATAGACGGGTAAACTTGATGGTGTCCTGTTCATTTGCTGTCAATTTAATGTCATCTCTAGACTCTGCCAGACCAGATCTATAACTATATATAAGCAATCAAC